CTGCTCAGCCTGCAGGGATGAAGCGGACTTTAGATGTTGAAGAAGCAACGTCCCGCAGCAGCCAGGTGGCCTGACGGCTGGGCTCTGCTGTGCTGCAGCAGGAGCAGTAGCAGGTGCGCCCCCTTTGCGTGGGGCCAGGGCTCAGGAGTTGTAAGGGGAGGACGGCCGTCACTGGGGTTCAGAGACCACCTTTCTGCCCCCTTGCAGGCCTGCGGCTGCCCGCTCTACTGGAAGGGCCCCCTGTTTTACGGCGCCGGGGGAGAGCGCACGGGGTCCGTCTCCGTGCACAAGTTCATCGCCATGTGGAGGAAGTGAGCCCTGCCCTGGCTGCGGGGCGGAGCGGGGTGGAGTTCCTGTGGGGGCCTCAGATGTACAGACATGGGGTGTTCAGGCGGTGGGCTCTGCGCATATGACCTGTGCACCAACGACTGAGGATGGGGGACGTGTGGGCAACTGCTGTTCTGGCCAGGTGATGGTGTGGACGCTCGGACGTGACGTGGACAGCACTTGATCAGAGGGTGTACTGGACTTGCATGCCTGTGGGGGTCAGATGGGTGGACGATTGACCACTGTGCAGGTGTGTGAGCAGGTGGACGCTCAGAAAGATGGACAGGAGACTGCAGTTGAGAGAGCAGGTAGACACTTAGACATATGGACGTGAGTGTGCAGATGTGTGAGCAGGTGACGCTCAAACATGGACGTGAGACTGTTCAGGTGTGTGAGCAAGTGGAGCTGTGGACGGGCTCAGGCAGGTTCTCTCATGTGGAGGCCCCTCTACCAGGAACACTGCTGACAGCCAGGATAGCAGGCCATCCGTGCAGGTGCCTGTGGCCTGTCCGGACGGCCAGGGACCCCCCGCCCCCCCGGCCAACAGTGAGTGGGGCCAGGGCCCCCCCTGAGGACTGAGCACATGCACGCAGTCAGGCCACGCCCCTCTGCCTGCAGAGTCCTCCAGAACTGCCATGATGACGCCGCCAAGTTCGTGCACCTGCTCATGAGCCCCGGGAGCAACCACCTGGTGCAGGAGGACTTCCTCCCCCTCCTGCAGGTGAGCTGAACACTGGTGGACCGTGCACACCTTGCTGACGCTGATGCCACGGTGCCCCATACCCTCCCCGGGAACACTGGACACTAGAGCCTGGGGTGCTTTGGACCCTCCCCTTCCATGACCTGTGGCCATTCCCCCAAGTGTCCAGTCTCTCCCACGTCCCCATGTCCAGCCATCTCGGCCTGTGGGAGTGACCCTTCGGCACAGAACCCCGGGGTTTGGTGTTGGCGTCACACAGGCCCCTTGTGCTGGACAGACTTATCCCCCCTCCCCGAGCAGGACATTGTGAACACGCACCCCGGCCTGTCCTTCCTGAAGGAGGCCAGTGAGTTCCACTCTCGGTACATCACCACTGTGAGTATCCCCCCAAAGCCTGCGGGGCTCTCAGGTCTCATCTGGGGGGGCTGCGGGACCCCCTGAATCCCTGGCCGTTTAAGGTCCTTGAGCACCCAGGGCTACGGTCCTCTCCCAGTTCCGGGGGCCGGACTGTATGGGCCCCGTGTCGCGGGCGCCCCCAGCCCTGGCCCTGGATCTGGTCACTGAGTGCAGGCCCTCATGGTGGCCCCCTCCAGGTCATCCAGCGGATCTTCTACACGGTGAACCGGTCCTGGTCCGGGCGCATCACCTGCACGGAACTGCGGAAAAGCACCTTCCTGCAGGTTCTCGCCTGGGGGGGTCATTCTCTGGGAGGCCACTACACCTGTGGGGGGTGTCGTGATTTCGTGGTCATCGACCGTGGGGTCTCAGGGCCCAGTGATCCCGTGCTGTGCTCCTCCCTCGGTGCCACGTGAGACCCCACCGGGCTGTGCCCCGGCGCCCTGGTGCAGCTCACGCCATGTCCCTCCCCCCAGAACGTCTCCCTGCTGGAGGAGGAGGCGGACATCAACCAGCTGACGGAGTTCTTCTCTTACGAGCACTTCTACGTCATCTACTGCAAGTTCTGGGAGATCGACACGGACCACGATCTGCTCATCGACGCCGACGACCTGGCCCGCCACAACGACCACGGTGCGGGGCCGCGGGGCGGGGCTGCCCCAGCGCCGACGCACTCGCC